AGCGGCGACGCAGATGGCGACTTGACTATGTGGATAGGACTGGCGTAGGGACTGCTCGACGGCCGTATGATCCCTGCTCGAAGCAGTTCCCTGTATTCTGCCTTCGCTGCTTGAAGTTTTTCCCCGATTATCTAACGAGGCTTTGAATAAACTGGGCATCCAGTCGTGACGATGTGATATTGGGTCTTCGCAGTTGGTCCTATAGTTTGGCCTTCCTTGGCCACAAACCGCTCGAAGAAACTGTTGATGAGCTCTAGACACGCACCAGCAGTTGCGGGTTTCGCAGGAAGTACTGCCGAAATAGAGTGCGTGCTGGAGCTTTCGATGCTACAAGGCGCTGCTAGATTGATCGTAGCGTCAACCAGTTGGCGTCTGTTTAAGTCTGGCATAAGGCCATAATATCTAAGAAAATCAGCCCCTAGCATTAGGACTTTTACATCGGCTAAGACAAAAGACCACGGGAATACTCGCCGAAGGCCTAAATCTACCAGGACAGTACGACGACCACGTGTTGCTATTGCTGATCCGTTTGCTGCAGAAAGGTGTATGTCGTTCATGGTTGCCTTGCTTCTGCCACGAGCCGGAATGATAGAGACTACCGAACCACTGTCGACCAGGAGCGGATGCCTGACGAGCGGTCGATTACATGCAGTTGGTTCTCACAAGTAACACTACCCAACCGTTACTCACCGATCAGAATGAAACTTTGCACATCCATAGAACACTAAAAAATATGGAACCCCTATTTTTTCATTTTCTCGAAATTAGCTTTTAAGGGGTAGAAACCACCCCTAGAAAATGATAAAGGCGGAAACCTCCATGAACAAAATATAAAAAAAAATATATATATATATCATACAAACTCATTGTCCCAAACCTACCCACAGAACCCACTCAAACGAAACATCCGCCTTACCCCAAATCTTACCCCTTTTCCAAATCATCCCATCCCCTTACCCGAACATAGAGCGTCCAACTAAACTAATTAAACATTTTCGTCTTTACTATACCACTCTCACGTAAATCAATCAAACCTTATTATCGCTTCCACATAAATTAATCCCATCACGACCACCCGCCCACCCACCCTGGATAGGCTTTCAAGGGGTAAAATCCAACCCCAGATACTTAAACCCAATTTCCTTGATCCCCGAGCCCTGTAACCTGCGAGGCTATAAACCCCAGACCCTTAATCCCAATTTCCTTATGAGCCCTGTAACCTGCGAGGAACTTGAACCTTGAAGGTCATTTTAAGGTCAGGAACAACGACGTGGATGTAGTAAATTCTGTTCCCTTTGGGGTGCTTGTTTCACGTGAGTCTCCTTGCCTCTCACGATTGGGGTGCTTGTTTCACGTGAGTCCCCTTGCCTCTCACGTACTTCACCTCTTACATACATTACTGTATCAAGAGATATCCTCTATTTTACAAGTTCGTTACAATAATGAGGTGGGTTTTCTTCACTGATCGCAAAAAAAATGCTGTATGCACAAGTTTTCAGAACAACAAGCACATTTGATAATTGCAGATTGGCAACAAAATGCACATTTTGTATCAACATTCGGAAAGCAGTATTGCACAGGGGTTTGACATTTATTCGGTTGATCTGTCACGTAGCCACTTTTCCACCATCCGTACGTATCTCGTATTTAAACATATTTATAAATCTTGGCGCTGAAAACTGATAATGTGTCAATGACTGTAATTTTAAAATGGTATTTCTCAAATGTAAATTTTTTTCAAAATTGTTTAACATTACCATATCAGAAAAACATTTGACGAAATTTTTCCACGGTCTAAAGCCATAGACATCTAAAGGTTGGATCATCCCAGTCGTTCCAGCAGGTATAGTACGAATTTGGACGATTTTATTTCCTTTATTTATCTTTTCAAATACTTTTTCAGTTTGCCCTGTCCAAGAATCCAACAATAGTGAAGAGTCCAGACCGGTAAAAGAGAGAAAGACAAATTCTTTTGTACAATTGGTCCAAACTCGCCATCAGTTTCTTTCAAGACTATTAATAAGGGAGAATGGAGTTTGCCATCAGCTGAAATAATCGGTTGTATAGTGTAACTATCGATTAATGAGTTTATTGATTGAGCAAGACATTCTACTTGTAGTGATCCCTTGATTGACAACGTACGGCCTGCATGAGCTTCCAAATTGAATCCCGATTGATCAGAATTATAAATATTGGCTACACCTTTCGATTGAATATCTTTGCGAATCTCTTCTACGAATTTCGAAGCCGACTGTGATAATTCAGAAGCATTTGACAATTGTGCAGTAGTAACAAATTTATTGATTTTTCTAGAGACTATTCTATGCTTCACTTTAAAATTATGTATCCATTTTGATGAAGCCTTAAATAATTTCGAAGATAACTTTACATTTTCTCTAGCTTCGAGCGCCCACCTTTTCAAATCTAAATCGTGAATTGGTAAACATTTATCAGAAGCACTATTAAACTTTTCTAAAACATACTTTGAAATTTTAAGTAGTTTTTCTGACTTTGATCCTCCTTTTTCAATTTGATTTTTCCATCTGTACAGCATCATTTGATGTTTTACATTTGCAAATTTACTTTCTACAGATTCAAGACTTCTTCTTTTTCTCTTACCTGAACGCCAGTAAGTGACCGCTCTTATCTTATATTCCAAATCTGCACTACCGTCTAATGGCAGATGTTTATCATCTTCATTTGAATCATCAGATTCTTCTAAATGCAAATCATCAACTTCCAATGCTTCAGCTATTACGCTTTCTTCATTGTAAGACAAACTTTCATAACTGTCAATAAATAATGAGCAATCGGATGCTGTTCTTATAAGATCTGCCAGGTTAGAAGCGAAAGATCGTTCTTCATCAGTTATTCTAGATTCGATGTTATATTCAGCACCGTCGAAAGCAGAACGCAGCAAATTTAAAATATTTTTTGGATTCATTAGCATTTTGAATTTATAAATTTTTGGTCAAAAAAAAGCAGTCTTCAATATATTATTTAACTATTGCTATTTGAAAATCGAACTATTATTTTAAATATGGAAAGAAAAAGAATCAAAACGTGACATATGAAGGCTAATTAACAAAGAAAGATTAATAGGTATTTTAAATACGTCGTTGTTCCTGACCTTAAAATGACCTTCAAGGTTCAAGTTCCTCGCAGGTTACAGGGCTCATAAGGAAATTGGGATTAAGGGTCTGGGGTTTATAGCCTCGCAGGTTACAGGGCTCGGGGATCAAGGAAATTGGGTTTAAGTATCTGGGGTTGGATTTTACCCCTTGAAAGCCTATCCAGGGTGGGTGGGCGGGTGGTCGTGATGGGATTAATTTATGTGGAAGCGATAATAAGGTTTGATTGATTTACGTGAGAGTGGTATAGTAAAGACGAAAATGTTTAATTAGTTTAGTTGGACGCTCTATGTTCGGGTAAGGGGATGGGATGATTTGGAAAAGGGGTAAGATTTGGGGTAAGGCGGATGTTTCGTTTGAGTGGGTTCTGTGGGTAGGTTTGGGACAATGAGTTTGTATGATATATATATATATTTTTTTTTATATTTTGTTCATGGAGGTTTCCGCCTTTATCATTTTCTAGGGGTGGTTTCTACCCCTTAAAAGCTAATTTCGAGAAAATGAAAAAATAGGGGTTCCATATTTTTTAGTGTTCTATGGATGTGCAAAGTTTCATTCTGATCGGTGAGTAACGGTTGGGTAGTGTTACTTGTGAGAACCAACTGCATGTAATCGACCGCTCGTCAGGCATCCGCTCCTGGTCGACAGTGGTTCGGTAGTCTCTATCATTCCGGCTCGTGGCAGAAGCAAGGCAACCATGAACGACATACACCTTTCTGCAGCAAACGGATCAGCAATAGCAACACGTGGTCGTCGTACTGTCCTGGTAGATTTAGGCCTTCGGCGAGTATTCCCGTGGTCTTTTGTCTTAGCCGATGTAAAAGTCCCAATTCTAGGGGCTGATTTTCTTAGATATTATGGCCTTATGCCAGACTTAAACAGACGCCAACTGGTTGACGCTACGATCAATCTAGCAGCGCCTTGTAGCATCGAAAGCTCCAGCACGCACTCTATCTCGGCAGTACTTCCTGCGAAACCCGCAACTGCTGGTGCGTGTCTAGAGCTCATCAACAGTTTCTTCGAGCGGTTTGTGGCCAAGGAAGGCCAAATTATAGGACCAACTGCGAAGACCCAGTATCACATCGTCACGACTGGATGCCCAGTTTATTCAAAGCCTCGTTAGATAATCGGGGAAAAACTTCAAGCAGCGAAGGCAGAATACAGGGAACTGCTTCGAGCAGGGATCATACGGCCGTCGAGCAGTCCCTACGCCAGTCCTATCCACATAGTCAAGTCGCCATCTGGGAAGCTTCGCCCGACGGGTGACTACAGAGGTCTAAACGCCCAAACCGTTCTTGATCGCTACCCAATCCCGAGGATTAGCGATTTGCTTCTTCTTCATGGAAAGAAAATCTTCTCAACTGTTGATCTCAAGAAGGCATACTTCCAGATTCCCGTAGCTCCTGAGGACGTCCAGAAAACAGCAACCACAACTTCGTTTGGTCTGTTTGACTTTCTCGGAATGCCCCTTGGTTTGAAATATACTACACAAACGTTCCAACGATACATGCATAGCATATTTAGACATCTCAGTTATGTTTCCGTCTTCATAGATGACATTCTTATCTCATCCAGCACCATGGAAGAGCATCTTAATCACCTGCGGACTGTCCTGAGTATCCTACTTGAAAATGGTCTGAAAATCAATTGGGACAAGTGTCAGTTCGGTCAACAGGAAGTAAATTTCCTTGGCTTCAAGATAAATGCCGATGGGTTTCGGCCACCAGCCGAGGAGGTTAAGGCTATTCTCAACATTCCTAAACCTGCAACTATCCATGACATGAGGAGATTCCTGGGAGCAATTAACTATTTCAGAATGCAAATTCCACATGCGGCTGAATCGCTCTGCTCAACGAGTGCGTCAGAAGCATGAAGAAAAAGGACAGAACCCCGATAGTATGGACGTCGGAGTTAGAAAAAGCTTTCGAGGACAGTAAGAAATCGCTCACAGTGGTAACATCCTCGACTTATTTGCATCCAAATTCACCCATCATCCTCACGGCCGACGCGTCTGCAACGGCTGTTGGAGGGTCCCTCGAGCAACTAATCGACACTAAGCACTCTCCACTTGGCTTCTATTCCAGGAAGCTGTCCGTTACAGAATGCAACTACAGTCCATACGATCGCGAGCTACTTGCAATCTATAGTATGCAACGTTCAAAAACTTTGCGCACATTGTTGAAGGCAAAGAGTTCGTAATTAGGACTGATCATAAACCACTCACCAAGGTTTTCCAGCAACGCCCGGACAAAGCATCTCCACAAAAGTTACATCAACTGGACTACATAGGCCAATTCTGAACAACGATCGTTCACATTCCAGGAGAGCATAACGTCGTCGCGGATGCGCTGTCAAGAATCTGCACCATCAACATGCCCACGAGGCTCAGTGCGCAACGCAAGTCATTAGTGAGGCTCAGGCTGAATACGAAGCTTCACCGAAACGCGAAACCATTCACGTATGTGGTCTTCAACAGATTGAGTTAGACGGATATCGTTTCCTTTGTGAAGTCTCAACAGGAGTAGTACATCCGTACTTACCACCCTCTCTGAGAAGGATAGCATTCGACGTCATTCATGGCCCTGCTCATCCGAGCGGTATAGAGACAGCAAGGAAGATTTGAGAAAAATACTTCTGGCCTGGCATTCGCAAAGATGCACTAACTTGGTCGCGTAAATGTGTGCATTCCGTGTCAGAGGGCGAAAATCCATCGCCACACACGGAATCACCCTGCCAGTTTGGACATACCAAAAGCAAGATTTAACCATGTACACTTGGATATAGTGACTATGCCTCTTGTTAACGAGTACAGGTACTGTCTCACGCTTATAGATAGGTATACACGATGGCCTCAAGCGATCCCGCTGAAAAGGGCGACATCACTGGAAGAAGTGGCCACCGCATTCTACACTGGCTGGATTGCTACTTTTGGCATACCGCTAACCATCACTACAGACCAAGGACCGCAGTTCGAGTCTGCACTTTTTAGCTCATTGGCAAAGCTAATTGGAGCAAAACGTATACGCACAACACCTTATCACCCTCAATCTCACGGGATGGTTGAACGATTCCATATAACGTTCAAGGCCGCACTGATGTGTCAGCCTAGCTCTGCATGGACTGAGCTGCTTTTAGGACTAAGAACAGCATACAAGGAGAACATCAAGACTGCGCCTGCCGAGCTCACTTTCGGATCAACAATTAGAGTTCCAGGAGAATTTTTTGTAGCTAAGGATCTTCCGCAATCACTGGTAACCTTCCTAGACCATCTGCGAAAGCATTTTGAGGTCATACGGCCGACACCTACTTCGTACCATGTCAGGACTAAACAATTCATGCATGGAGATCTTCACACATGCACACCCATGTCTTCAAGTTGAGAGTTCCAATTAAACTGTCGCTTACACCGCCCTACTCTGGACCTCATCGAGTAATAAAACGGTTGGACGACCAGCGATACGTCATAGACGTCAGCGGAAATCCACAAACCATATCAACCTCGATGCTAAAACCAGCGTACATCTCTTCGGACGAGTCGTTACTAACTCAACGGCAAGCAAGAGAAACCCAGTCTAGATAGGTATCATTTCAGGTACTCCTTACGCAGCCAGCAGGTTCACAGGGAGCAACCAGTTCACAGTCCACGCCAGGAACACTAAGGTTCTTCCTAACTAGCACCAGGTCATAACCTTCATAAGAGTTGCCCTCTGACCAGGCAACTTCTAGGGAGGGAGTGGCTGTGGCGGTTACGCCAAGCTTACGTCAGCAGGTACGAGATGGCAGCACTCCTCAGTCGTCGGTAAGGCGACTGCGCAAGCAAACGCTCGTTCCCTGCAGCGAGTTCGCATGGCAGCAGTCAGTCTCTCACCGGTGCTCGAGATAGTTGGTAACACTTTTGCCAGCTCCTCGTAGCAACTATTTAGTTGCTCTAGCACCAACGAGAACCACTCGTCAGACTATACTTGAATTCCCACAGCTCTGGGGGAGCAAGCACAAGTGTAAATAAGGTTACATACAGTCAATTGTAATCTAATCAATAAACTCAGTTAAACTTCTACAGTCTAGTTCATTTCCCTAGCGCGCGAAGCAACCTTTAACATTTATAATTTTTTTCTTTCAAAATTGCATATTTTTCTGCTAGAAGATAGATTATCCGCCAAGCATGCGCAGTAATACGTTAACTTCAACTGCTGATCTACCTGACGAAAATCTTTTCATTTTAGTTATTTTTAGGGGGGTACAAATTCTAGGAGAGTATTTGCCAAGTGGCACTAATTAAGATCAAGCTAACATTATATTTTTTTTTTAAGGAGATCAATCATTTTTGACCAGGTCATCTTAATGCGTCTGTGCGCATTATCTGATGCTATGACCTTTTCTCAGACTGAACATTTTTTTGGAGTTACGTACTTTTACATAATACCGGGAAACTTATTAATTGAAACTTTGTTTAACATGCTAATTCATGATAATTACGGAGTAAATAGAGTAAGTAAACTGTTATATACAATAATCTGTACGTACATACATACATATACAATACATAACCTACTATGAATTAACTACAAGTTTTGGAGATCATGTACATAGAGACTATGAACCAATTTTGATTTATGATAACAAAACAATTCAATTATAAGAAATGAACATTCATTTACCTTTTAGTCTTAAATAAATACAAATATTTTATATTTTTCGACCTATCTTCTTGTAAAGTCCCCTTAACAACTAAAACAAATTTATACTTTAGCTTGTTTATCAGCACTCGACATGGAAAACTAACTGCAGCAGCTTGGAGTCAGCAGCTGAAAGTCGAAAGTTGAAGGTTGAAATTTCAAAAGCAACTTTTGATGTCTTCTAACATCTTTAGGTGAGATATATGTTGCAAGTAACTTTGTTTATTTTAAATAATAATTAAACTAAAAGTAACTAACTAACTAAGAACTAATAACTAATAACTATCTAACTAAGAATATTAATGAAACACTATTTAATATGCTACAGTTGAATAATGCAATGACCCATGGATCAGACAAATATGGTTTGTCTCAACTGCCATCAGCCAGGAACGAATCTTTTGCGATGCTGCTTACTTGCACATCTATAAACAATTAACAGTATGCAAGAATACTTATTATTTTAAATATAAAAAACAAACAGATATTTAGCTAAATGGATACTTACTTTTTACCAGATATTTATTCATTTTATTTGTAGTATGGCTTTCTCAATTGCTGCTTTTATCAAATCAAAACACATTCTGTTGATTGATTCATCCTTTGATTCCAGAAGAGCTGCATATAATATTTTTATGAAATTTTGTTTCTCAAGCCTGAGATCATTAAGATCAGTTCTTGCTCGTACATATGTTAATTTTGCAACCTCTTTTGGAACTGAAGCAATCCATTTAAATGGCAACTTTCTACTGAACGGCCCATCTGCCAAATTTGATGTTATGACGTTATTTGCAGAATTGCTGTTTGTAACCACTGGTATTTTTTTCTTTATATTTATTGATACAATGTCTTTGTACTCATCTAAGATTTTTAAATTCTCTATGTCAGTGTTGTCATGAATATTTTCTTCATTGCTCATTAGTTCATTAAATACTTCGTATAAAATTTCTCTTTTATTCTGGGTATGAAAAATTGGCACATTATTATGACATATGATTCTCCAGAAATATTAATTGCCTGTTCAGCATCGTCACTAACGAATTCATTTCATAACTTTTTCAAATTAAGTTTCACAAACTTCTGCCTCATTTTCTGCCAGATTGTTTTGAGATCTGATGCTAATATAAAAAAATAATATTAATCTTTCATATTCACTTTAATTAATAAAAAGAATGGCCCAGAAATTACATACCTTTTTGCATTTAATACTTCACATGCTTGAAAAAATTTACAGTTTTATTTCTATTTCCACGTTTGACGTTATTTTTTTCAAATAAAATTTTATTATCATTCTTGATAATGATTACTACAATGAACTTTTGTTTGTAATCTATTTTAATGTCTTCATAAACAGCGAAAAAATCGTTAATTAAGACAAAGAGAAGATTGAAAATTGTGTATATTTTTGACGAATTGCGAAACAATGCGTTCGAGTCCTTATGTGTATTGAAAAGTATATCTACATACACATCATACACACTGTACAATTTTACAATTCTAGTCCTAAAACAAGCAAGAATACGTACAATTTGTAAAATTACATTTTCTTGCGGTATAAATTTTGATATTTCAGTTTTTTTCTATTAATATAAAATTTGACAATTTTGCCAATTATTATGGAAATTCAATTAATTTAGAATAGTTAGGAACCGAAAAAGAAAACACCTTTTTTGACACTTTGATTAACTTTTATATGAATAATCCTGAATTGAATGAAAAGATGGAAGAAGAATATTTAGTTACTGCAAAAAAATTAGAGAAGTTGACTTTCAGCTTATTTGAAGGAACTGAATATCATCAAATCAAGTCATAACCTAAATGTTCATGTGATTGTATATCAATATATACTATTATTTGTTAAACAATTTTTTATGTTGATTATAATTTTATAATAAAATAAAATAAAATTTATATTCTTCCAGTTCCTGACATCATTCGTATATGGCAAAATTTAGTAAAAAAATTCAAACAACTATTGTCAGAAGACAATTCTGGCTCAGGAGTTGGTACAAACAACTTCATCTATTTTGAAAATTTAGCTTTTCTAAGATCTACTTTCGAAAATAGATGAACACTATCATTTATCAGTCTTTTGTCTAAAACTACTGGAGACAATGGTAAGTTCTGGTTGTGGACAGTTTTTTTGTATAACATTGACTAATAATTTTATTTTTTTATTCTTAGGTGCCTCATCAGAATATGAGCCTACTCTTCAATGACAATGTCAACATAGAATATTATTCCTGCCAGATTTTCAAAACCACCTAAAATCCATGTAGCATTCATTGGTGAGGGTTCTTTGTTGGCCTATACGTCTACATCATGTACATCAAAACGTGTACCTTTAAAAATACCTGAATATAATGGATTTGCTAAGAAAAAATTTTAATTTATGACAAACGATGAGGAGAGGATGCAAGTCATTAGCCAAAAGTTGATACAAACGTTAGATAATATTAAAAGCTTTACATAATACAGTACATATTTCAAGTATAATCTTTTTTACTGTAGATTCACCTTTATTATAAAACCATTTACTTTTCTTGATAGAATCAGCATGGGCTAAATAACTGAAAGAAAGACATTTGATATTTGAAATACACATTCATAAAAAGAATTGTATTTTTAGGCATTTCATAAGAATATACTTTAGAGTTAATGCCAATCTTAATTCTGATGATAGAGGAGGTCTTCTACTTCTTTTAATTAGACTATTTCCTACAAGAAACAAATATTCGAACGTCTGTATACTCATTCTTGTAAAACTCATGAACTCTTCTTCGCCATTCAGTTCAAAATATTTAAACAGACTTTGATAACTACCATATCCAGTGAAATAGTTGTTTTGTATAAGAGGTTTGCTCCACCATCGTCTGAATCATTTTTTTCTTTCTTTCATACGTTCAAATAATTCTTCATATTCAACTCCTAATTCGACTAATTGTAGTTGTAAATTCAACAAATACCTATTATTTCCCATCTGCTAAAGAGAAAATTTATACAGGGTATCTAAAGTCTGGAAACACCCAAATAACTTTCCAGGTGATTTATTTTTAAAATATGTCAAGGTCACTTTTGAAGTAATTTTCAACAAGGAATTCAATGGTGAACTTAGATTTGACCTTGAAAATGACCTTGACGGTTTTTTTCAAGGCCAGGTCAACTTTTTTAAATGGAAAGCACCTTTTCTTATATCAACATTCGAAAGAACGGGAAGTTTTACGTTCAAAATCATTGACGTCAAAAATTTCCCGTTGACCTTAAAGGTCATTCAAAGGTCATTTAATTCTGAGGCCTCTCACGAGAACTCAATTGATAGAAATAGACCAGAGCTTGTTTTAGTTGTTTTAATTAATCGCAATTAGCGATGACCTCAAACTCGACCTTGTTTGTATCCTGCAAGGTCATTTCAAGGTCAAAGTGTTTTTCTGATGTCCTCATCTGATATCGTCAATGGAAAGAGCAGAAGTTCTCATTCTTTTACTTTTAGCGTTACCCAGAAATATCTACTGGTTTTACTATCTACTGGTATTATTAATACTACCCTTTTAAGCTGCTCTGGTATGCTCGTCAAAAAAATTTCCAGTGCAATAGTTTACAATTCAAATAATATTTTACTTGTTTCTGAATTTTCATAATTTGATTAGCTTTTGGATACAGTCTACTATAAAGAAGTGCAATGGAGAAACTAACTGATAGAAAAAGAATAACGCTTCTCATGAGAATTTGGGGTCCAGTCGATTTTATAGGACTGTGAGATAATGAACCTGTCTCTCTCTCTCTCTCTCCCTCCCTCCCTCTCCTACCTTACTTCAGCCCGCTGAAACTTAAGTGATACATGTGATATACATTTAATTTATAAAAATATATTAGGACATGGGAGAGAGAGAGACATAACGAGTAGCAGTTGCACTCGTTACATGCCCCTTCCCCAATCACAGGTAGTCAGGGCGTACCGATGTGAAACCTTGGTCTCTCTCTGTAGGGTCGATAAATGAAATATACTATGTGTATAGCCAAATGAATTTATTATTACAATAGACTGAAAGAAACGAAGAAAGAAATATATTAAATAAGAATATAATAAAATAAAAGAAAGGAAATAAAGGAAGTGTTCGCGGCGAATCCGCTCCCTTATTTTTACAATTACGCGTTCTCTCGCTTTACCTTTTACTTTTATTTCTCGCAGCAAATCACTTTTTCAAAATACGTGCTTATTCTTTAATTGCGCTGGGGATTCTCCAAAAACTTTCTCTAAATGTGCTCATTGTTTTCATCGTACTCTACTTGCAATCGTAGATATTCCGTTTGCTACCTCAGTTTAGGACGAGTTATAAATTATCTCGGTTCAGAGGAAAAAACTCTCGTAAACCTTCCAAAACACCGTTACGCTCATCCCATCATAAACGAGTTCGGCGAGTCCGGGTTTTCCCTATTTGCCCGGGCCGCTCCGCCCGCAGCGTCGGGCAATAAAAAAGGGGACTCTCTCTCTCTCGCTCGCCGCTGGCCCTCGAGTTGCCGAATTCCGCGCGGACTCTCTTCGCTACGCTCCCGCTAATCTCTGATTGGATCCTGCGAAAGAGACTCAAAAAGAGAGGGTAGTTTTCCCGCCTTTCCGCGCTTTTCGCCATAGTGGCATTCCCAAGAAGACGCCACGTCAGAACTTAGTCTGAAAAAAGAGTTCGACCGGAACGGTAGCCAACTATTACGCTCCTTCTCGTGCGCATCTCTTTTTCTTCTGCAGTTATACCGACGCGCGATCGCTAACATATTTGTTTCGCATCGTCTTCGACCGCTTGTATTCTTGGGTGTACTCGTTTGCTTCGAGCAAAACGCGTGTGTTGTACCGCAGTGTGTGTAACCCTTTGACGATCACCGCAAAGAGACTAGCGACGAATCAACTCGCTGCGCTAGTAGAGGCGACTTCAGTTTCCTCTGGGGTGCTGTCAAACCCCGCGCCCTCAGATCGGCAACTCGGTGACATAGCAGTAAGGGCTGTACCCGTGTCCAAGGCATTGGAGCTGCATGCACCTTTCCTACCTGGCAGCACCTTCTCCCTTCGCTCGCTCGATCATTGTGTGTGTGTGCGTCGTCCAAAGGTAAAAGAGCTCTCGAATTCTAACAAGTGAATGGCCATTCCACCGCAACGTTTGTAAAGGCTCTGCGAGCCTTATCACTTCGCATCAGCGTAATCCATTTGCTTACTCACTCACTCTAGTAATAATAATAGTGCATTATTTTGTAATTCTAATCCCTTATCAATAACTGTATTTAATTTGCTTCGCCTTTGCGGCTTTTTTCCTTCTCACTTCGAGGAGGTTTTTTTTATGCCATTAAACGAAATCAATTTACTCAAATCTTATCCTATTAGTTAGCACAACCCATACACGCTGCCTTACCTCACCTAATTTCATCATCATTAAATTAATTTTATTTATTACGACCTACGCAAACAGGAAGGAATCATAGGCTTAATGCGTGCTCTCTCTCTTACAAGGGAAATATAACACAAAAAAAAATACATGGCGTCAGTGCCGATCGGTGTCGGGACATAAGAAAAGTCTTCGCTTAAGCGCAGGACACTTCGCCCTTATGCGACCGAAGAAATGGTCTTCCTCTTCGGACGGAGAGCGGTAAAACCGAAATGGTTAATCATACAAATATCTGGCCAGGTATATGTCGACCCACATCCAGTTTATGGCGGCGTTTGGGCAGCTGGAGGCTCGTGCAACGCCTGTTAAATAGCAGACGTTGCAATAACGCTTGTTGATAAGGTCTTTTCGTGGATCTGCCCATCGGTCGCAGGGGCGCGAAGCGAGAAGCTCCTGCCTTTTGCGGAGCTCAGCCAGCTGAGCTTGGATTGCCTCAAGTTCCTTCTTCTTGGCAGCCTTTTCCTTCTTCAACTCCTGCCTCTTCTTTTCAGCCTCGCGGCGCTGCTCCCTCTCCTTCTGCCATTGAATCGTGGCCCCCTCGTGTATCTTCTTGAGGTCGATCGCGCCCTGGACCTTGACGATGAAATCATTGGCTAGGGTCCATGCGCGTCCTCCATAGCGTTCAGCAAATTCTAGGACGCTGACATAAGCCGTGTCTTCTTCGGCGGCAGCTGCTATGCCGGCACATCGGGCTGCTCGAGCTATCGCCTCCAGCGGGGCCCACTCTTTCTGGAGAGCGGCCCAGTAGCGCTCTTCGGGAGTAGGATGCAGGTCAGCTAGTCCATAACATCTGACTTCTCTGGACTCGACCTTGGTGCCGGATCATCGGTGGCGGCGATGGCTCATTGGCCAACTGTGGCATTAAGCCGACCGGTTAACTCGAAGATATCTTCGAGCGTTACTCCGGTGTTCAGTGGAGACTGGGGCCCGAGAGCGTTCAGTAGCCCGGCCAGAAAGGACTGGACCTTCTCAAGGTCCTCTTCCCACAGGAGGATTGATCTCTTGGGGGTCGTAGCCATAGTGCTGCCGAAGAAAATAGAAGATGTTAGATGATCCAAACAAGGATAAATATGCGTGTGAAGCGTCATGCGAAAGTGGAAAAGCAAAGCAAGCGAAGCAAAACAAAATGAAGGAAAAGACAGGCGGTTGTAGATGTTAGTTGCGCTCGCAGGGTTACCTTTTAGAGCGCAAACGACGCGGCGATGTGACAACTATCGCTGGCACGATTTTCTTGGAGCCGCGCGGTCGACCTCGTCTTTTCGGCGCCGTTGTCTCGTGCGTTTTACTAACGTCGGCAGGGTTCGAAGCACGGTCATGAAAAATTGCAGGTTCAGTGTTGTGCTCAAGAGCCGTTGCATCATGATCCTCATCTTTAGTAGGAGAATCATCGTCTCCTGCTTCGTCGGGAAACTGCTCCTCGACGTAGCAGGGTTTAAGATGTTAGGGATGAGCAATTGCGCGGGAGAGATTAAAATAAGTACACTGAATTTAATATATATTTTTTTTAATAAATCAAATTACAATCAAGTTAGGACTAAATAGTCGGCATAAAAAACCTCACCGTGTGAGGAAAAAGCCGTTATTTTACAAAGGAAACATCTTAACTAGGATCGAATTAGCGCGCACGAGTCCAAAGGGAGGCACAACTCGTCTCGTCGGAATCTGGACGTAAAGTACCCCTCGTCTCAGTCTCACATCATACTCGTATGTTGCCGAATTTTCTCGCCAGCCTCGCCGCCAACGCTGCCCCGCTGCGTACACATGTTTACTTTTGGGCCTTACAGGCACGCTGGCACGCTGGCACGCTGGCATGCTTATCGCCTTCCCGCTCTCTCGCCCTTCGACTCTCTCGCTCGCTCTCACTCGCCAGCCTACCGGTCCGAGGAGCAATCTCATCATTGCCCTATCCGGAACTCATCAAGTAAGATGAGATGACCCACACGACCAAGAGTAAAACTCCACACGGGGTCTGCAGCCTTTAGGGAGCAAGCTCCGCGAATCTGAAAATTCTAGCTTCACGGCCACGTAATGCATCCCGAGCTCGTGCACGTCCATAGGTCGAGTTTGAACTTCGAGAGCAGTACCGCTGGCTCAATCGCGGGTCCGCGACAAGCCGCCCCGGTGTACATCATTGCAACATTCGTTCTCATTTATCCTCTCACACTCTACATCGACGA